ATCAAAGAATAAATCTGGGTGGTCAAAAAATTTCAGGTTTTAAATAAAATAATTTCATCTTCTATGAAAAACTATTTCAATTTTTTTTTTTGAAATTATAATTTCGGGGTTTCAAAATAATTTTGCATACAAGTATAAACCTGAATAAATAAAATTTATAATTCAAAAACTCAAAATAAAATGATTTACACCATACATAAACAAATAAAAATTAATTATGAAATACTTATACAACAATCAATTGAAGAATGTACTCTTGTTCCTATTAAATGATACATTACAAGATATTATTTAAAAAATATATACCAATGTGTCCTTTGAGCTTGTTAATATTCTCCGTTACTTTTGCAAGTAATATCAACTAATGCTTTAGAATCATAACACAACAAGTTAAAGAAAATAACTTTCCCTTAATATGGTTTGATTGGTGCATATAATAAAATTGTTATATTTGATTTAAAAAATATTCTGATTCGATTATGTTGTATTCGAATTTTGGATTAAAAAAATTTCAGCTGCTGATATTGATAATGATATTCTTAGAGAGATTCATAAATTTTCCTTCCCAATTCAAAAATTAATAGTTAATAAAATTTTATCTGTTGAAAGCAGAATAGAAAAGAGTAAAACTTACCTGGTTTGATGTCACTTAAATGTCAATGTCTTTTTTTTTGTAAATATATACTTTCCTGTAAACATATTTTTCATGAACAAATACATGACCCAAGAAAATTGCTTACAATTGATTCTTGGAAACAGTTTCAGCAGACATTTGATGAGAGTAGATTTGAAATTTATAAATATTGTGAATTAATAAATTCAAAATACTTGAAAAAAATAAAAATGATAGAGGAGTAGAAAATAGAAAATTAACCATTAACAAATTAATGGAAAGAATATGAAATGAGTATTGGAATATTGAAGAGAATGGTGATGAAAAAGAAAAAAGGAAATTTTGAAAAGGTTAAAAACTTGTTTAGACCTGATTTTTTTTAAAAAAATAATTGATCCAAAAATAAAATAAACTAATAAATATTATAACAAAAAATAAACTAAAATTTAATAACAAAGCAAATAATCAGGTTTATAAAAATTATTTTTCTTTTTTGTGAGAAGTATTTTTATGTAATCTGATTGGCCAAAATGTCATATGATAGTTTTTCTTCCAGGTGGACTAGTTATAGCAATAGAAAAGCTAATTAATGAAATTAAAGGAGGTCTCTTGCATGTATTTTTATGCTTAACAATAATACCGAATACTTACTTATTCTTGTACTTTTTTTTCCTGCTTTCTATCATCAACCTCATCCAAAAAACACATTCGCATTATCGTAGAGCAACCTGTTGTCGGTAAGTGAGTCGCCAACACTAACGTGACGTTTGATAGCCATTTTATTTTTGTCTGCTGTGTCGTATTGATAATCCCTTTCTTATTTATTCCTATTATACAGAATATTATTATGGGAACAAAAAAATTGAGAATGAAAGGCTTAAGAACTTTTGGAAAGTTTTAAAGGATACAAAATTTCATATTGATAATGAGTTCTTTCAGCTACCTAAAGATGCCCATTTTTTTGGAAGTAACAAAAAACCTTTAATAATATACATTCGTAAATGCTACAATGACTTGCTCAATATTGTTCTTGATAACAATATAAGAAAATTACGTATCTCTAGTAATCCAGAAATCGGAAAACCCTTTTTTGATTACTACCTACTTTATCATCTCACACTGTCAAATAAAATAATCATATATGACATCCATACCATGAGCGAATCAAATCAGGTTATTTTATTTGAGCAGGAAAAAACCTTCTATCTTCACAGAACACATGACGCTAATAAGATTGGAAGATACCTGGACGATTCTAATGTTTGGCATATTGTGGATGGTAAAAAAGCAGATGAAATTGATGCCAAGACAATTCTCATCTGTTCTCCTATGAAATATTATTATAAAGGTTTTGATAAGTATATCAGGACGACAATATGGTACATGCTGGTGTGGGAGTGAGAAGAGATCGATGCATGCAGGGTTATGATCTACAATTATCTTAAAGAATCTGAGATTAAGCAGTTGTTTCTTAAATGGGGAGAGATCCCTCAGTTCGTTCTGAAGAAGGCTAGTGATTAAACTCAACGAAATTTACTTGAAGAAGTAATTGCTAGATGCGATTAAAAGATATTTAATTATATTGGCAAAAGTGATATTCGAGATGAAGTCAGTTACAAACTTATTCATATCTGTACGAACCTCCTGATTGATGAAAGTGATATAGAGATCGAAAGTGGTGAAGAGGTTGAATACTTTAATGAGGAACCCTATACACTAAAAACTATAACATTTGCGTCTGATTATGTGGGTGAAAAAGTGTCTGAGAAACTTAAAACATTAATATTTGACAGATTACATACAGAATTTGAACTAAGCTTGACAGAAGGTATAAACAATCCATATTTAGATAACTGTTTCGAGCAGATGGTTCACTGGATATTGTGAAATAGGGAAACTTTCAAAGTTTGTTCTTTAGAGCCTAATGACTCTAGAAGAGAATTAACTCAAGATATAAAGAGACAAAACGAGATACTTACATTTTTTGCAATTCAAATAATCGAAGGTGAAAAGTATTATCGAACGGATAATAAAAATTTATCGTCAATTGATGTGATTATTGCTCCTGATACACTCTTTCAGATAACTACTGCTATGAATCATCCTATTAATATTATTGGTTTAAAAAGACTTTATAATAAATTAGCAAAGACAAGTGAAATTTCCTTTTATTTGTTGTACTGATAGAGTTATATAATTATTATCAAAAGCAGAAATTTATTGCCACCAACAATTTTATTGCCCGGAGAATACCAGATTGAATTAAAAATTGCATTAAGCAATATGCTCTGAGAATTAGTTTGAGTTCTGAAGGTTCATCTAGAAGTTTACTAAAAAGATGAAGTAGTTTATTAGAAAGAGCTAGTTCATTAAAGAGAGAGAAAAAATAGTTTATTTAGTTTTTTATTGCTATTTGCTACTTAAAAAAAATTATTACGTTACATTTTATTTTGTGAAATAAAGATTGTATATAATAAAGTAATGTGTTATCTTATATTTTATTTTTGCAATGCAATTAATAAAGTATTTTAGTTGTGACTTCTACCAGACATATACATGATTATATGTAGTGATAAGATTATTTCTGCGATATGATATGGTACAGATTGAGATAAAGAATTGTCGTTATAACAGTACATCGTACTGAAAATTTTATATATAATAAACTAGATGCTACAAGAAATGAAACTCGTTTTAGCAGTGAGAAAAGAGCTGTTACTTGTTTTATAATTTTTAGTGAAAAAAGCAAGATTATAAGTTTCACATGGCATTAGTATCACCATGACCAATATATATCTTGGCAGGTATGATATAAATACGATACATAATTTATGACATTTATTATGATTAAATAGGTATTGCTTTATTTTTTTAATCAACTATAATTACTGGTGCAAGTGATAAATCTTCAAATCTTTTCTTAATGTGAGCTAAAACCTTTCTCGATAATAAATGTCAAGTTTTAATCCAGTTGGATGATCAAGCTTTAAGAAAATCAGATCAACATATTTTAGATGGCGGTCCAAGATATTTTGACATAATCTCTCGATACAATCTTTCACGTTTATATTTAAAGCAATATGGACACCATGTATTATTATTTTTTATATGAGAAAGTGTAACATACCATTGATAGTTTTTATTGTATCTCCAGAGTAAGTGACTCTTGCAATTGATATAAGAATCTGTTAAGTATTTCCCAGCTCGACTACATGCAATAGATTTAGCTATTAAAATATCAAATTTTGTACTGGCACAATGCGGACATCAAGAGTTTTTGTTTTTAATACCACTGATAGAAGCAAGCCATTCATATAATTTAAAACATCTCTAGCGTAAATACGTTTTATAATTGATGTAAACATTGGATAAACATTCTCCATTTTTGCTATGTGCTAATTCTTTTGCATATTCAATGTCAAGTTTCTCAGACTTATCTATACAATGTGGGCACTGTTACAGAATGAAAATATAATGATAAAATAATATTAAAAATATCTGCAATAATTTATAATAACCCTTAAAATAATATTTAGAATTTAATATTAGTTCATGTAACAAATAGTAACAATT